GGGAATGAGGCCCATTTCTATTACTGTTCTTGGCGTGAAGATACCCAACGTGCAGCTTGCCAGGCTCTGACGTGGGGGCTATTGACTCCGGGGGCTTGCCAGGCTATCCCGAAGTGGACAAGGGGCTTTGTTTTTGGAGGCGGCCCCGAATCGCCTCCCAGATACTTCCCAGTGTGACTTGATCGTCACTCGAATGCAAGCTTTTGGCCGAGTCGATGGGCAGGATACCAACTGCACCCACAGACTCTCCACACACGTATGCGTGGATCGCCAGCGAGGAACAGAGGGTATATCGACCCAGCACAGCAGTATCAAGGAGTCCATCCCCTGAATCCACCTGCGTCTCTGGGCAAGTACCGGTGACTTTTGGTCGGCGATTAATTCCCCTATCCGCCACCTGGGGACGCCCTACGTAGCCTCGTCACTAACCGGCTGAAAACGGCATATACATATGTTAATCCGTTATTACTTACAAGTACGGCCTTTGTGATCTCATTGTCGTGGCTGCACTTATCTACGAAATCTGTTGCTATCAAATGCTTTCACAATAGGTGGTCTCAATGAATACTGGCTAGGTAAATTGCATGGCGCCCTCCAGTAAAAACAGGATCGTCTCTTAGCATTTCGTGTATTCAGAATGGTCAATAGAAACCTTACCCTCGAAGGAGTTGAAGATGAACTTGACTTTGATCCCGCGCGATAAGCGCCTTTTCGTCTAGAGCAAGTGATCGAAAATTTTACGATCACTAAGGCGAGTAGTAAATAGATTACGTCAATCATCGATATATTCCATCAATTTCATCCAATTCGCACAGTAGTTATAGCTGAAACGGTCGGTTTGAACTGATATCAGCTTCTTCTACCCAAACGGCATGTAGCGCTCGCCGAACCCTACAGTGCACATTCACCCACTGGTATCAGGAAGTCTACTGTAAAGGGGAGCCCGAACTTTCAGCGAAAGGTTACGGTGATTGCTGCGGAACCATTACCGCCTGCCAGGCGGCCCATCTCGTTGTTGGAAGGTGAGGGGAGGTGAGGAGAGAGGAGAAGTCGGAGTGATGGTACTCCACTGGCTCCGCGCCTCTAATAATAAAGGCTAGAGCACGGAGAAGTATGGGGCTCTGGCTTTGTGGGCTCATTGTAGTGCTTAAAAACGGCTGTAAACCAGAGGATAAGACGATTGCTTGAGCTTGAGGAAGTAGGAGGCACAGAGGTAAGCGCGATGCTGACCTCGTGCGAAAAGAGTTTTGGAGGGTTTCCAATAACTATCGTGAACTTGGATTAAGCTCTTGAGCAAGCGTACAAAAGGATTAAGCTGAAATTTTATCTGCAAAGGACTAAAAAAAAACGTACCGTTATCTACCAACTGAAATGACAATATGAACCTTACTCTGTTTCCAGAACGATTCACTTCGATGAGAATGGAAACAAATAGTTATCATTACTGAAACTTTAGTTCCACCGGATATGTTTCACTCCAACACTTACAGCTTACTCGACACTTTCACCATTGTGCTGTTTTTGAAATTTCTGAAGGAAGTTCGGTGAGTCAGAGCGAAGTTGTATGCTGTGGGATACGTATTGATTTTGCGCGTTGGCATAGAAAACGCGGGCGCAAATCTATCACAACTGCTCTTGCACGCCATAAGACATGCAAAGGTGCAGAAATCGTTTGTGAGATGCCTGAAATAGACACTGCCGTGTGATAGTAAATGTGTCTTCTTGATCCGTTATTTCGTTTCAGGATGTCATCGTTGGCAGCAGCACAAGATGTGGACGTGGTATATTTGTTCATAAATAGCTTAGCTATTCTCATGACATTTGTGATCACTGGAGGAATCAGTTTCGGTTGCTCAAAGAAAGGTGACGATGAAGAAGAAGAAGGTACAGGTGATGGCGGAAGCCAAGGGGTAAGCGTGCAGGCATTTGGACTGTTTTCAAGACTCATCCTCTCTTAGGTGACTACATAAATTAAACGGATGTATTGCTGAAGGTTTGGGAATGATACCCAGTGATGGATGTTAAGCTTATCCGAAGTCATTTTCAAGGCTTTCAAGCTCTAAGTGGTTCCCATTACCTGCCTCACCGAACAGAGTAGTCCCTCACATTCTCGGGGCTTGATGTATCATGCTTTATCGCGATCTTTCCTAGTGTGGGGTTGCGGACAACTTGGACCTAAGGCGCAGGTTGTCAGCTACCATTTCGTTTGCTAGGGAGTCTCTATCCTATAAACAGTCGGGGTTGATCCGATGAGACCTTTACTGAAACTTGAATACGATGAGCCAAAGTTTTCCTCCGGAAAATTCCTTCAATTTTCAGGCCCTCAGTGAAAGTCTAACTCCGTCTGAAGTTCAAGCTCAAGAGCCTGTATCTCCAGGACCTGCAGACGCTGGACCGCGTGCACCGACTCCTATTGCTGATGTGGGCGGTGGACCACCTCCACCACAACCCTATCCCGCCCCACCTCTTCCTCAACCTTTTCCTGGGCCACCCCCTCCCCAATCTTTTCCTGGGCCACTTCCTCCGCAACCTTTTCCCGGGCCCCCTCCTCCGCAACCTTGTCCAATGCCGCCTCCACCACCTCCAGCGCAACCCACTCCGGATCCTTTTGCCACACCATCCGCCCCGGAACCCTATGTACCACCTCCCCCACCCCCAGAACCGCCACCACCGCCACCGCCGCCACCACCGCCACCACCATATATCCCACCGCCTCCACCTCCAGCACCACCCGCCAATCCTCCAGATCCCTTTGCGTCATCTTCGTCTACACATGAAGCACCTCCTCCCCCACCAGTCGAACCTCCTCCTCCGCCGGACTATCACCCAGGTGAGCATGTTCATTATAGAAGAATGGCCAATATCGATCGTCAGGTAGGGATTATAATAGGCCCACACCAACGAGCGATCCCGTTGAAGTTCTTGAGGGTGCGCCGTGCACTTTTGTTCGCATCAGTGTCGCAAAGCATTGACAGGTTGAACTCCTCACTCTGCCTCGCTAAACACTAGGTCCCTATCTTTGAGATAAAAACTTCCTCTTCAGGAGCCTACAAATTCATGCAGTTCCTAACTGGGAATCTAATGAGGTTTCAGAAGGCATGGCGCATCCTCAAGAAGTTAAATAGTTTGGCGTGCAAGTTGATCATGGCAAAAAGCTTGTGTCTCATACTGAATAATTCCTAGAAGCCGCAAAGAAAGCAACCGGAGTACCTCCTGAGAAGCTCCCAGGAGTGAACACTCTTGTGGATAAGATCGTAGGTGCCATGAAAGACGATATGAAGAAAAAGGCCAAGGAGGCGAAGGTGGCCAGGGCGGCATCGAAACCAGTTAAGCCAACAACGCCGAAGAAGAAGGATAAACCAAAAGCAAAAGTCGCTCCTACACCAAAAAAGAAAACGCCCAAGAGCAAAACACCAAAAAGAAAATGATGGCTAGACTTCATCATCAGAATACTTTGATCTCTACGTTTGTTTTCTTCGACTTGTCTACACTTAATATTACAAAAAATAAACTTCTGAGTAATGAAGAGTACTGCAGTTACCATATTTAGCAGTCAAGGAAAGGTAGAAAGGTTTCCCCACACGGTTAGCGTGAGAAGAAAGCCGAGCGGAGGAATTTCCTGGCGAGTAGCGCTCTGCGCGTTCCGGGTGTGAAGTCAAAGTATTGGTCCCGTACAACCCCGCCAAGCGTTCGGACCCTTTGAAGGGCTAGTGGATAGAAGATGCCTCCAACACCAATAAAGTAGTAGGTAGATAAAAAAANAAAAAAAGGGCTATTTAAGTTTTTTCTCGGACGGACCGCTGCATTTTTAGGTTCCAAGGTTCCATGTGCAGTGGTGTTTACGTAGTTCTGTAAGCTGCAACCATGCAAGATCTTCGTAGTTACCGCCCACAGTAGTAAATTTCCCCAGTAATCGACCCAAAAAGTTGGCGGGCAGAGGTAGCGTAGTGGCAACTGGCGCACTATCACACACGCACGGTCACAGGTTCGAGTCTCGAATAAGTATACCCTGGGCCAATCAAGCCTTGTATCCCTCCGGGATCGCTTATTTGGCACCATACTCGTCTGATAGGATAAAAGCACTGACTTATACGTCGGCTGGCCACCGCAAGTCATTGTATGAGTCACACACGCATACAATACGCCACTACGATTCTGAATGGAACCGAATGCGGGGGCGTATCTCCTAGACGGGCTTGATCAGCGCCCTCGGCTATCCCAATCAATCCAGAAGGGGTGTTAATTATACGGTGAAGAACTGTAAGGTGATCGCGATCGTCAAATAAGGCACAAAAAGTTTCTCATACAAAATTAATCAAACGGAACAAAAAGACGGGAAATGCAGGCAATGACTCAATAATACAATAGTATTTTTACAACTGTACAACAAGATCACTTCAGAGTCTTGCAATTTCAATGCTTAATCATAATGGGGATAGTTCGCCTATTCTCATGGCCTTCGGGGTTCTTCGATGCTTCCACGGACAAATGGCCTTTGTCGTCAAGCTGAGTACGGATAGACTCCAGGTCAACATTTTTGGGCAGCAGCCATTTGCGAGTGAACGATCTGAAATATTCGTGGCGATCAATATGAATCACTAAATACACTGATAACACTCACCTGAGCAGGGCACCATTTGTCGCTTTGTGTTCCTGTTTGCCTTCAATGATCAGCTCTTGCCCCTCCAGATGCACGTTCAGTTCGTCAGGCCGGAATTGTGACACATCCAGGAAGACACCAAATTTCTTATCGTCGTCCACCATCTGAATTCATAATTAACTTTTAAAAAGCGCTCTCAATCATTTATAGCCTTTTCAGAGAGAAAAACCCTTACCTGCTGGGTTTCGTTGCCCACATGAAGTACTGAGTGGTCAGCCTCTGTCCAATATGGAAAGATGTCCCTTTCGGAACGACGAAGGTCCCTTAAATTGTCGCGCATCCTATGGTCTATTGTCCTTCGTACAGGACACAAACCCAACATCGAATCCATGATTGATTATTAGAAATTTCCTGAAAGATGGCTGTACTTGGAGTATTTCATAAGAAATGAGACGAAAATTCGAGAAATATGACAAAGTGCTTACAGAGATGAGGTAACTGTCAAAGGGAGAGTATAGCAAGTGCTACTGAGAACTTCTCTGCGAAGCTCTTTATGTACCCGCAGCAACGACCTTCGAGAACACTACGGAACGTTCGTTGTTTGTTGTTTCGTCGGCGCCTCCCACTCTCTCGCAGGGCCCCGCCCATCTGCTGACTCATTGCAGGCGCAGCGAGGGGATGGGGCGGGGAGAGAAGATTCGCGAAGGTTCTCGAAGGATCTCCCCGAGTGGTATATAAGGAGCTCAGAGAGTAGTAGTTCCAGCACACTAAGCTTATACTACTCAGCAATCGGCAATGTCTCTCTGCATTCTTCCATTTACTTCGGAGGCGATCCTGCCTCGTCTTTTGGATGACGTCTTCAGCGAGCTGGATGATGCCTTCAATCATTTCTACCAAATCGAACGGGTCTCTTCTCCTCCCTCAACAAAGAGGTCAGGGAGGAGAAGCCCTATGGGTCAATTGTGCAAGGTTAGTGAGGAGTTCAAAGAGGATCTCTCAGCATACCGAATTCTTCAACCTAGTAAGTAAAACTCTTACAGGTCAGTGATGACGGGTCCAAGTTGGCGATCTCATTAGATGTCTCGAAATTCAAGCCAGATGAGTTGAAAGTGAACATCGATGACCGAACCCTGACTGTTGAAGGCAAACAAGAAGTGAAGGATGGCTTGAGTTACACGGCCAGGTAAGTCCCATAACTCCTAACATCTATTTGGCCTTATTTTACAAACATATTCTGAATTACTTCCTTTACAGGTCGTTCCTTCGCCAGTGGACTGTTCCAGAAGGCGTCGACATCGAGCAGATCCGATCCACGCTTACTGAAAATGGTCATTTAGCCATCGAAGTACCGAAGCCCAAACCGGCCATTGCTTACTGAAAATGGTCATTTAGCCATCGAAGTACCGAAGCCCAAACCGGCCATTACCTCCAGGAGCATCCCAATCCAGAAAGCGAATGATCAGCCAGCAGTGAAGAGCAATTAATTACTGCATTGCTCAACTAATACTCATTAACCATTGTTATTATATTTATTTCTTCAGTCAGGATGAAATACGATCTCTCGTAATTCTGTAATTGTATATAGTTTTAGTGATGTTGTTAGCAGTGTCTAATAAATCCTTGAATAAAAAATGTTTTCACATCAGCATATCTTATCATACCGCGAATTCAGTACGGCTTAAGCCTGGTCTATTTATTTCGAAGTAGCCTCTTTCAAAAGTGGCAATGCGTCAGACAAACTTCATAACGTGAGCGGGGAGGTGTAGTGATGGGTATAGATCGTACAATTCAAGGAAATTGAACCACAAAAAAAATGGTTCCGTTTGTTTCCATGTCTTCCAAGTGTGCCCAGTGGCATTGAGGACAGAACGGCCCTCAACGAGATAGAGCACTTGCAAAAAAAATCAGAGATAACGACATTGGAGAGAGCGCTGACGGCAACAGTTGGCGTGGGCAAAATGACGGACAGGCGGTATCGACTGTAGATCACTATGAGTTATCGTATACCATGCAAGAGTAAAGGTGAAGATCAAAACAGAAACACTTTCGGGAACTTCCTTTCCTTTGGAGCATCTTTCTCAAGCACTGTGGGCATTCTTACCAATCCCATTTGAAGGAACATTCCGAAAAACTTATAATTTCTCTTATAAACTTTAAAAAATGGTCATTCTGAACCATG